CTTCTGTTTGGATCACATACACTGTGTTATTTCTGTGTTTCAAATGCACAGATTCCTTATTCTTTTCTTTAGAGGTTTTTGGTATAGAGCGCATGCGCTTGCCAGAAAGACACAGAGAGACAGACAGAAAGTGAGACATCACCTCCCAGGGTGGTTTTGTGGCCATTCATGCCACTATCCCTTCTCCTCCATCTTCCTCTCAGTATCTTGGGCGTGCACACACATACATGCACCCGGCGTGAGTTTAAGCCACCGGGCCAGGACTCAAACCGCTGTCAACTGCAGGGGAGTCCAGCAACGTAGCCATTACACCAACTGCTGGTCCCATGCACTGATTCCTTCTCACACCTACAGTAAGATCCACCCTGGAGGAGGTTCCAGGTGGAGAATGCGGTTTCTGCTGTGCTGGACGGAGTCTCCCAGGTGGAGACCAAAGATTGGGAGAGACCGTCACCTCCCAGTGCTGGTCTCCAGGGAGGAGTCCTGTGACCTGTTCTGTGAGCTGTCCCCACTGCAGTGAGGCCACAGAACACAGGTCAGGATTCCGTTTTGTTCTGTGGTTTTTCAACATAATTATTTCCATTTCGGTCCATAAATTCTGATACTTGAAATTAGAGCCATGCAGAGACATATTCACCGGTCCAAGTGCCAGAAAGTGTCTCCAAAGGGACTGTTTCCTTCAATATCTGCACATTCAAAAATCACTAATACAGGGACCAGCTCATGGCATAATGGTTATATCACTGGACTCTTATGTTGTTGACCACAGTTCAAGTCCCAGGCCTGGTGGCTTAATACAGGCTGGGCACATGTGCATGTGTGCCGAAAATCTCGAGAGGAGAATGGAAGAACAGATCGATCCCCCAGGGAGGTGATTTCTCACCTCATCTCTGTCTCCCGTCTCTCTGGCTAACGCACATGCTGTATACCAAAAATCTCTCTCTCTTAAAAAGAGAACCGAATCGCACTTTCTCAGTTAAACATGGCCCCTGCAAGTCCCAAAACACTCAGTGGGGACAGATGGCCCCTAAAGGACTTCCCTGAAGCTGACTCTCCATAGGGACCTGCAGGCAAAGGCATGGGTGTGAGGAGGGAGGAGGAGGCCCAGGACAGGAGAAGGTGCAATGGGGGAGGGGTAGGCCTTCCCTCAGGGAACTCTGGGGCTGAAGGACTTCCAGGTGGCCTTACATTTAGGCGGGGCCTGGGATCTTGGCCTCAGGGTATCATCACTGAGGATATCTCTGGGTACAGACAGAAATCTGAGGAAGGGGCTCAGCTCGGAGGGGCTGACAGCTCCCGGCACAGGTGGGGGGGTCAGCCGTGAAGTGGTGGCTGCTCTATCAGGACTTCAGCCAGCGGGACAGGGCTAGTCCTAGACGTTCGGACCAAAGAAAGGCCCAGTGACCACAACAGAAACCTCGGATCAATAAGTGGAGGACACATGTGTCCTTAGGTCTATCCTCACACTTGAGTGATTTCTCCCCATGTCAAATGACAGACCCTAATCCCAGGGCAGTCCGGTCCTGCAGCCCTGAGTTCACTCCCCACACTCCCTCTGCAGATCCCACCGGGAGGGCTGGGAGGAGAGGACAGCATGGGGGGCTCAGATCAGGTGACATGGGCCAGCCCTGCTGTGTCCCCAGTCCTCCTGGGTCTGCAGGGAGAGTGAGACCCAGACAGGGAAGGGGTTTGTGTCTCACTTCCCCATCTGCCCGTGTCACTGTGGCAGCATAAGCACTGCTATCCCACGACTGACAGTAATAGTCAGCCTCGTCCTCAGCCTGGGCCCTGGTAAGTGTCAGCGTGGCCGTTCCGCCTGAGAGGGAGCTGGAGAATCGGTCAGGGACCCCTGAGGGCCGCTTGCTGTCATCATAGAGGAGCAGTGCAGGGCGCTGGCCTGGCTTCTGCTGGTACCAGTGAGCATAGTAGCTTCCTATGCCTCCTCCCTGGCAGGTGATCTTGACTGTCTGTCCCAGGGCCACGGACACAGAAGATGGCTGATTCAAGGCAGAGGAGGCCACAGAGCCTGCAAGAGAGGACAGGAGAGGTGAGCCTGAGGCTGAGGGTCTCCTTCCCAGAGGGCCCCACCCCCTGCAGCACCCCCTGTGCTGAGCTGAAGGTCAGGCCAGGCTGGTCCCTGGTTGTGTGGGGCTGAGCCCTGGGGGCAGCACCTGTGCAGAGAGTGAGGAGGGGGAGCAGGAGAGGGGTCCAGGCCATGGTGGAGACACCCCAGAGCTCTGCCTCTGAGCCCACAACTGGGAGGGTCCCCAGGCCTCTCTTATCCTGAGGGAGGGGGGCTCCTCATGCAAATGTCCTCCTTCCTCTGTGGCTGTGGGTGGCTCCCTGCTGAGCAGAGAAGGGCTGGGCTTCCAGGAGGGTGTCCATGGGCCTGTCCCCTAGGCCTGTGACCAGGATCTCAGACTCTTTCTGGTGTGGAGGGAGGAAGAGCTGCCCCAGTACTCACACACACACACACACACACACACACACACACACACACACATGCGTCACTCAGCCTATGCCCTGGGATCTTTCTCTGGACTGGACAAGACCCCCTCAGTCCCTTATCAAGGCTGAGATTGCCCCTGGGCAGAGCTTGAGAAGGAGATTTGGGGTTCTTGAGTCATTCCGGGAGAAAGGAGGCCAGAAGTCCAAATCAGGTACAGAAGACACGATCATGTACCTTGGAATCAATTTCTATTATTTTAGTGGATAAAGAAATAAATTTGTTTTTGACAGGTTTTTGCTATACGGTGTGTGCGTTCACCAGAAAGACAGAAAGATAGCAAGCGAGAAATCACTCCCCCGGGGGGATGCCCACACCGCAATCTCTTCTCCATTTTCCTCTCTGGATCTTGGGCACACACACACGTGCGCCCGGCGTGAGTTTAAACTATTAGGTCTGGGACTCGATCTATAGTCGACTGCATGGAAGTTCAGCGACATAGCCATTATGCCAACTGCTGGTCCCAAGAAATATAATAAATTTTTTTTACCTGGAATGTGGCAGCCTCAGTACTGACACCAAGAGACCAGATCATAAGAAGAGAGCCTGAGTCATTTGTCTCATTCAGATTAAAGTCTTCACGGTATTAGTTTCTAAGACTGGGTCTCCCCATGTTGTACCCCTCATGGTTCGGCATCCCCCCAGGGTGGACACAAGGCCAGGCTTTCTATTCAGACAGGGTCTCCCCATGTTGCTGAGGCCAGGCTCAAACTAGTGACGCCCTGCTCAGCTTCCTGACTCACTGGCATTACTCCGATGCACCAACACGCCCGGCCGCAAGTTTACCTGAATCGAATCCACGTCTCACAGGTGGGCCCGGCCTTCAGAGCTCAGCATCTTAGTGGTCCATCCCACTGTGACTGAGCCCTGTAAATTTTATTTTTTAATTTGGTATATATTGAAGTCATGTACCCGGGAGTTGTTATAGATGACACATTACTGTATTCACACTCTGTTTCTTAATTTATTTCATTTCTTTTTTTGTTTGTTTGTTTTTGCTTTCTTTGTTGGTAAAAAGAGGACCTAATTCTCCTCCCAGCAAGTTTCTATATGGTGAGATTTCTGGATTCACTGTTTATGTGAGAAGAAGGGCCAGGTGGTGTGGGGTGGAGAGTGGATTCACCCACAGAAGGGCCTCAGGGGAACCTCAGTCATGCCCTCTGCACTGAGCTCCTCCAGGGCACTGGGGTATCAGGGTCCCCAAACCAAGGCCCACAGTGCCCCCTGGTGTCCACAGGACTCATGTCACCTACATGTGTCACTACTTCCTGCACCAGGACTGCTTCAGTCCTGCCCACACAATCTGGGCAGTTTGCTGAGTGTTTTACAGGAACCGCCTCAGCCAGACCTTCCCAGTAAATCCAGCAGCACTGAGCTTCATGCACCATCTCTCCTCCCGTATATGTGCAGGGAACACCATGGGAGGTGACATGACTTCCCCACAGTCCCAGACAGCAGTGGGAGGAGCCCAGGGCCCAGGAGACCCAGCTCAGAGCTGCCTTCAGCCTCCCTGTGCTGTCTGCTGCTCCCACCCCTCCTCTTCCCTCCCCCAGGCTCTTGGGCCCTCGTGTTCCACAAGCTGTTCTGTGTCCTGTGTCCTCTGAGCTCTGTGAGCAGAGGTGGGGACCATCCATCAAGGGCAGGTAACACCGGAGGCTGTGTCAGGGGACACTGGGGACATCAGAGCCCTGTCGAGCTCCTCCTGTAAGCTGCTGTCCTCACCAGTTATTTTTAGATTCCTTTTCCACCAAAATGAGAATTTTCTGCCAAAATTATATCTTAATAATAATTGAAGTTAAATACTAGTTATATATCAGACCAGCAAATGGCGTCATGGTCATATTGCTGGACTGCTGCGTAGTTGACTGTGGATTAAGTCCTGGCCTCAAAGGCTTCAAAACCTGCCATGCCCATTTGCCTGTGTGCCCCAAATCCCAAGCAACAAGAGAATGGAGGAGAAGGGACGTGGTTCCCAGGAGCTGGACTCGTTGAGCTGTCCCCACTGCAGCGAGGCAGCAGGACACAGGTCAGGGTCCCCTTTTGTCCTGTGGGTTTTCAACGTTCTAGTTTCCATTTCAGTCCATGGACTGTGGCTCTGGAACTCATATCTGTGCAGGGATGGATTCACTGGGTCAAGGGCCAGGAAACGTCTCCAAAGGGACTTTTTCTCGACCGACTGCACATTCAAAATAACTAACACAGAGGGCAGACGGGTGTGCAGGTCACAGACTCATACAGTCACGGAGAAGGGCCTGGGACGGACCTCGGGGGAGATGAGAGGACACGGGAGACTGTCTTGATCAGGCTTTGAACCCACGAGATCCAGGTTTCCAAGGTGAACAGAGACTGGCTGGGTGAGCAGCAGAGAACAGGGTGACAAACTCGACCTTCAGGAAGACAAGAGCCAGCAACCCCCTGGTAACCTAGACACATTGTCCACGTATGCTCATGGGTAGGCCGGGCCGTCCTCAACCCCCGTCTGCCCCTCTGCAGATCAGAGCTCAGCAGTTATGGGGGACCTTCCATTCAGGGTCTCAATCTGAAACAGAATCCGCAGTGACCAGGGCCTACATCCCACGGTACATGAGGTCCCCAGTGCTGCAAGACCACAGTCCTGGGGGGCACTGCACTCAGAGCCCCATTGGTCACCCTGGCATGGCCTCCTGTGCTCAAGAAGGTCTTACTGCGGGCAGGAGGCATGGTCCTACCTTGGAACTTTTTGCAAATTTTTCATAAGCTTCACATTCCAAGGAATCCTGGATGAGAAATTCCAGCTCCAGGCAGCCCCCACCCCAATGTGAGTGTGGGACCTGAGACCCCGAGTGGTCATACAATTCCAGAGCTCTCCGGGACAGCAGGGACAGTAGGGGGAGTGTAGCACTGCACACAGGAGCCCCGCGCTCCTTCAGGGCAGAGGGTGTTGGTGTGACCAGTGCACCAGGTCCCGTCTCCACTCCGGGGACACCAGTGTGACCTCAGGGGGAGGGGCTAGTGAAGGAAAGATGGAGTCAGGGCTGTGGGCTCTGCTGGTGCAGGTTCCTGAGCCCCGGGCCCTGCTCCTTCTCCATCCTAGACGCACCAACTCCCCCTCCCAGGGATCCCTGCTGGGCCTGCCCGACCTCAGGACATGGAGCACCTCACAACTCTGACTGCGCCCTCACTTCACAATTAAATCCTAAAATCTCTAGCTAACGTGCAGGGCTGAAATGCCTGATGGGGTTGTTCCTACTCTCTTTAGAGAAAGAGCCTCCGCAAAGCTTCTCATACACCATCTCCTTCCTCTCTGATCCAGGACCATGACACAGTAGAGCCCGGGATTTCCCCTCATGTCCACGTGGCCCAGGCCCAGGTCTATACTGTGACTGTGAAAGGAGCTTTCGAGATGCTGAGGGGACAGTATGAACGTGTCCTGTTCCCCCTCCACGTGAACGCGCCCTGTCTCTGACCTGCTCTCTGAGAGGGTGGGGAGGGCTCAGGGTCTGCATCCATGGGGCGGCCTGTGCACCTGCAGCAGGTGATCCTGTTCCCGCAGAGCTCACCTTGAGACTGACACTGCGAGGAGGAGGATGGCACGTCCCTTTCCAGGATCCATTCAGTTACACTAGGGACCAGTCCCCTAAAGGGAACTGCGGGCTTAGATGGAGTGACCAGTCGGGCAGGAGAAGAGAAAGGTGTCCCTGAGGGCCCCGTCCTGCTGGGAATTGCCCTCTCCTTGGGGACAACCAGCCTGGAGCAGGGCCCCCAACCTGTGCTTCCTGGGCTGAAAAGCTGGAGTTGGCTCGAAATGACCATGAAACATCACGAATGCACTTCTCACTGCTGAACTCCACACCTAAAATCGATGAAAATGGTCAAATTCATGTTCTGTTGATTTAATCAAAGTCAGAAAATGGCACATTCTGGAAAACAGTAAACTCAGTATACGATTCAAATTATGAAATTGAAAAAATACAGATTTTGATGGTAACACTCTCTCTACTCAGCAACTGTGAACACTGTGCCTTATTATCCTGTGTGTGGCTATAAATGAACTTTAAATACGCAAACAGGTCGATGTAGTTTAAATGATGTTATATCTATATAAAGTCGAAATAAGATCATTTTCACTGTACTTGATAGGAAATTATGTATATTTTACAGTTAATTATTTTATACTTAATTTTTTTTTTTTTTTTGCCCTAGAGTGTATTCACTTTTCAGAGAGAGAGAGACAGAAAGAGAGAAGGTGAGAAATTCCCCACCCGAGGATATGGCCACACCACAATCCCGTCTCGTCCATTCTCCTTCTGAGACTGTGGTCATGCCCGCCCACATGCACCTTGTCATTTTCAAGCCACCAGGCCGGGCACTTGACCTGCAGTTGATCAGGTGGGAGTCCAGTGTCTTAAATACAGCTGGTCCCATTTGAAAACTTCTTACAAAGTTTATGTGTGTGGTTTTTTTTTTTTTTTCATGCTAGAGAGATAGAGACAGAGAGACAGGAAAACAAGCACCTCCAACAAGGTCTTCACACCACAGCCCACTCCCGTCTCAGACACCCTGGAGCGTGAACACGCACACGACACCCAGCGAGCTCAGGGAGGTGCTGGGACGCTAACCCAGGCCCTGTCCTATGGGTCCCAGTCGCATTCCCACTGCCCCACTGCCTGCTGCCTCTTTTTTCCTTTTTCTTGTTCTTTTCTAACGTGGAGATTGTGTGGCTTATGGAGATGTGAACGGTTCACACAGTGAGGATAACCTTGATGGCTGCTTCAGGGCCCACTGTCAGGCTGAGCTGACTCTCACAGGGTCACCCCCATCTGTATCTGTTCTGGGGTGAAGAGAGCGATCTGAGCAGACGTGGAGGTGGAGGTGGAGGGTGTGCGTGTGCAGCTCACACCCCCAGGGACATGTCTGCAGCTCTCAGAGCAGCTGGGGCCATGGCTCCTTTTTCCTGGGACTCACCTTTAGCCTGGGTCTGACTCTTGGCTCTCTCAGAACCCAGAGCTCCTAGGGAGTGCCTTTTACATCCCATTAAAATGCAAGGGACAAAAAGATATTATAGGATGTTTGGATGTTGATCACAAGTTAAACAAGTCTTTCCAGTGCACAGTGGCCCTTTGCACGGTGGGTACAGCTGGCTCCAAGAAGTTGTCCTTGAAACAGACTCTCTATGAAGACCTACAGACTCAGGCCACCTTAAAGGAGGGAGGAGGCAGCATGGGGCAGAAGGAGGCCCAGACCTGAGGGAGGAAGCAGTGGGGCCTCAGGCTTCCCTCCAGGGAGCTCTGGAGCTGACCCTATGTTAAGGATCCTGGCCTCTGGCTGTCATCATACCAAACCTCTTGGGGACAAGGAGTAACTGTGGGAGGCAGGATTCTAGAACATCAGCACCTTCCTGGGAGGGCAACACAGTGCTTCTGGAGCGTTCTGCAGTGCAGGGAGGGTGGTTCAGCCCTGACGAGGGGTCTGGGGAGACCCCACAGGGCCCAGGACACGGGTTTACTCTGTTCAGATTCCTTGATGCCGTGGGAACCTGGGACTCAGGAGCTTAGCAGAGCTGGCCAGTCCTGGGTGTCAGAGCCAAGGCTGGAGCTCTGCACTAGGAGGGAGCCAGGGAGCACCAGCAAGGGACAGATGTGTCCTTGTGTCTGTCCTTGCACTCAGTTCCTGTCCCCACATCTCATATGACAGCTCCCAAATCACCAGGACAACTTAATTGTATGAGCCCTGACATGACATACACTCTGCACAGCCCGCCTCGGGGACTGGGAGGAGAGAGCGCCCTGGAGGGTCTAACTGGGTGTCCTGGGCCTGCATTTCTCTCGGCTGTGTCTCTGGACCTCCTGAGGCTGGAAGGAGAGTATGACCCACACAGAGAAGGGTTTTTTGTATCACTTCCCCATCTGCACAAGTCACTGTGGGGATATTATCTTCACCATCCCCAGACTGACAGAAATAGCCAGCCTCGTCTTCGACCTGGGCCCTAGCGATGAGTGAACGGTTCACAGACCGAAGACAACCGTGGTGACTGCTTCAGGACCCACTGTGACAGGCTGGGCTGACTCTCACAGGGTCACCACCATCTGTGTCTGTTCTGGGGTGAAGGCAGAGATCTGAGCAGACGTGGAGGGGGAGGGGGAGCATGTGCAGTTCACACCCCCAGGGGCCTGTCTGCAGCTCTCAGAGCAGCTGGGGCCACGGCTCCTCTTTCCTGGGATTCACCTTCAGCCTGGGTGTGACTCTGGGCTCTCTCAGATCTCAGAGCTCCTAGAATGGGAGGGCCTTTTTACATCCAATTAAAATGCAAGGGACAAAAAGAAATTGCAGGATGTTTGGACATCGATTACGAGTTAAACAAGTTATTTAAGTGCACAGTGGCCGTCTACAAGTCCTGACACCCACGGTGGAGACAGCTGACTCCCAGAAGGCGTCCTTGAAACCTACTCTCCATGGAGACCTACAGACTCAGGCCACCTTAAAGGAGGGAGGAGGCAGCATGGGGCAGAAGGAGGCCCAGACCTGAGGGAGGGAGCAGTGGGGCCTCAGGCTTCCCTCCAGGGAGCTCTGGAGCTGACCCTATGTTAAGGATCCTGGCCTCTGGCTGTCATCATACCAAACCTCTTGGGGACAAGGAGTAACTGTGGGAGGCAGGATTCTAGAACATCAGCACCTTCCTGGGAGGGCAACACAGTGCTTCTGGAGCGTTCTGCAGTGCAGGGAGGGTGGTTCAGCCCTGACGAGGGGTCTGGGGAGACCCCACAGGGCCCAGGACACGGGTTTACTCTGTTCAGATTCCTTGATGCCGTGGGAACCTGGGACTCAGGAGCTTAGCAGAGCTGGCCAGTCCTGGGTGTCAGAGCCAAGGCTGGAGCTCTGCACTAGGAGGGAGCCAGGGAGCACCAGCAAGGGACAGATGTGTCCTTGTGTCTGTCCTTGCACTCAGTTCCTGTCCCCACATCTCATATGACAGCTCCCAAATCACCAGGACAACTTAATTGTATGAGCCCTGACATGACATACACTCTGCACAGCCCGCCTCGGGGACTGGGAGGAGAGAGCGCCCTGGAGGGTCTAACTGGGTGTCCTGGGCCTGCATTTCTCTCGGCTGTGTCTCTGGACCTCCTGAGGCTGGAAGGAGAGTATGACCCACACAGAGAAGGGTTTTTTGTATCACTTCCCCATCTGCACAAGTCACTGTGGGGATATTATCTTCATCATCCCCAGACTGACAGAAATAGACAGCCTCGTCTTCGACCTGGGCCCTAGCGATGGCCAGGGTGGCCGTTCCACCTGAGCTGGAGCCGGAGAATCGGTCAGGGACCCCTGAGGCCAGGTTGCTATCACGATAGATGAGCAGTGCAGGGCGCTGGGCTGGCTTCTGCTGGTACCAGTGAACATAATTGTTTTCAAAGTCTCCTCCCTGGCAGGTGATGCTGACTGTCCCTCCCAGGGCCACAGACAGGGCAGAGGGCTGAGTCAGCGCAGAGGAGGCCACAGAGCCTGCAAGAGAGGACAGGAGAGGTGAGCCTGGTCTGAGGGTCTCCTTCCCAGAAAGGCCCATATCCTGTAGCACCCCCTGTGCTGAACTGAAGGTCAGGCCAGGCTGGTCCCTGGTTGTGTGGAGCTGAGCCCTGGGGGCAGCACCTGTGCAGAGAGTGAGGAGGGGGAGCAGGAGAGGGGTCCAGGCCATGGTGGAGACACCCCAGAGCTCTGCCTCTGAGCCCACAGCACAGCTGGGCTCCCCAGGCTCCTCTTATTCCATCTTGGGTTCTTGGGGGCCATGGCTGTTTGGTGTTTATGCAAATTGGTTCCTCTCAGGGCTCCTCACTCAGGGCTAAGGAGTGTCATTCTTCCCAGCTGTGGGCCTCACTCAGACTCTAAAAGGGTTTGGAGCCCCCTAGTTTGTTCTGAGCTTCTTTTCTGCCCAAAACAATGGCCTTGACTTCAGAGATCCAACTACAATGACATCCTGACCACGTAGTCACTGTCCCAAATGCTTTTCCCTGTGATCTGTCCTGAGTCAAGTTCATGGGGCTGTTGACCTTCCCGGAGCCTGGTTATGGTCAGAGGTGACCCTGGTGAGAGGCCGTCGATGTCATCTGTCACACAAGGAGACCTGGGGGCCCCTCACCACCCCCTTCACCTCCTCTCTGGTCTCCCACATGCACTTTGATGTCATCCTGGTCCCTTCATCTAGCGTTTCCATCATTAGGATCCTTATTCCTCATTCAAAATGGCAGTGAGCTCACCCAGACCAGCACCAGAGTGCGGATTCCCCCCAACTTCCGCTTCACTGACGTGGGGACCCGCGCTGACACCCACCGCAGCCTTGCAAGTGGCATTCCCACACCCGGATCCCTTTCTCCCTCACTGAGGTGTGCGACCTTACTACAGAGAGGACAGGGCAGGGCGGCACGGCAAGTGCCCAGGATCGAGGTCCCGTCCAGGGACCCCTGCTAGACAGAGAGGGATGGGGAGCTGAGAGTGGTCCGGGGCTCAGGGGCTGTCCAGGGGTAAGGCCTCTGGCCTGGAGCCCCGTCCTCTCACCCTGTGCTCCTCTCAGGGCACCTCGACCCCAAGTGATCTCCTGGGTGCGTTACCAACGCTGACACCTGAGACTGGGTCACCAGCTGCATTGCCCAGGTGTGGCCCTTACTGTGCCCTGGCTCCTGTCAGCATCCTGGGTGACACTGGGAGTCTGGACCTCAGAATGTGGTCACTGCAGACCACGTGGACACGATGGATATCTTCTCTTCCAGTCCCAGAAGTAGGCTGGGGACGCTTGCTCACACCAGGACTGGGCTCCCTCTGAGGCTCCCCCTGGGCAGTCCTAGTCCTGTCCTGGCAGGTCCTGGCTGGAGCACTGCTGCCTCCTGCTGGTGGAGCAGGCTCAGAGCAGGAACTTCTGTCCTCCAGGTTACCCCAAAGCACCTCTCACCTGAGAAGGTGTGGACCAGGGCACCCTCCTCACTCCTCAGTCTCAGGGACATGGGGCAGGTCCAACTGCTGGATCCATGTTCAAGGCTGGCCTGCCGTCTCTGGGCCTGCATTTCGTAGAATAGTAAGATCTGGGAACACTGTAACTCTTCTGGGAGAAACATAAAAGTCAGAGAAACATTTGTGACACCCCAGAGGGCCCCAGGCTTTTTTTTTTTTTTTTTTTTTTTGGGGGGTTTTGTTGTTGGGGGGAAAGACAGAGAACGACAGAGAGAGAGAAAGCGAGAAATCACCCCCCGGGGGGAGATGGCCACTCCACAATCCCTTCTCCTCCATTCTCCTCTCGGGTTCTTGGGCACGCATGCACACGCGCCTGGCATGAGTTTAAGCCACCGGGTCCGGGACTCGAACCACGGTCGATTACATGGTAGTTCAGTGACATAGGCATTACGCTAACTGCTGGTCCCGGGCCCCAGGTTTTTGTATACTCAGGAACCAGGACTAATGCCACCCACTCACCAGGAATGGGCAGTGGATTGTCAGAGGAAGTCTGTGATTCTGTGTCTCTATGGCTGACGTTTGCTCTAAATCATCATCTTCACCATCACTGTCCTCGTCCCCTCACCGTCACCGTCACCATCACGATCCATGTGTGCACAAACATCACCCTCACACCATCACCAGCACGTCTATTACTATCACTGGTATTTGTCACCCGTCTTCTCGTCCATGTGGGACATCTACACTAGACCAGGCCACATGTGAGGACCTGTCCCCACCACCCAGACACACCCGGTGCTGAGCCCTTTCTCAGGGTCCCACAGGAGAGGACAGGGGACTCCTGGACCTGGGTCACTGCCTGAGACCCCACGTGATCAGCCTTTGAGTCAGGAGACCCTTTCATGGCTTTGCATAATTTAGTTTTAAAAAACAAGTTCTTTCAGGACTAGCAGTTAGCATGACGGCTATGTCGCTGGACTCCCACGTAGTCAACCGTGGTTCACGTCCCAGATCCGGTGGCTTAAACTCACGCCGGGCGCGTGTGAGTGCATGCCCAAGATCCCGAGAGGACAATGGAGAAGAAGGGATTGCGGCATGACCATCTCCCCTGAGAGGTGATTTCTCACTTTCTGTCTCTCTGTCTCTCTCTCTGTCTGTCTGGTGAGTGCAAGCACCCTATAGCAAAAACCTCTCCAAAAAATAAAATTAAAAAAAAAATTATTTCCATGCATCCTTGTATAGGAAGGAAAGGAGAGTCCACACCTGGGTTCATACAGCAGGGCCCCCCGGAGTCCCTATTTAACTGAAAGTCCCTTACATGAATTTAATCACATCATTTGTGTAACTGAGAACATTTAGGTCAATATAACCCACCCCACTTCACAGCAGGAAATGCTGAGGCCCAGGAGAACTGAGAACAGTGGTCCCAGCCCAGGAATTGTGTCAGGTGTCTTGGAGTCGGTCCTGGGCTTCTTGGGGAACAGGGGACCAGGGTGGGCAGTAGGGGAGCATGAGGTCAGGGCTGGTCTCCCAGCACTCACTGCCACCCTATCACGACCTGGCCACCACGAGGCTGTGGGCAGGGCCTGGGAGGGGGCAGGACAGGGTCCCAGGCCATGTGGACACACCCAGAACTCTGCCTCCTCAGCCCACACTGGGCTCCTCTGGTCTCTGTCACCTCCCAGGAAGGACAAGGTTCTTGGTCAGTCACTTTACTGAAGCAGGCAAACTCGCGATGGTTCCAGAACCGCCCAGAGAGCTGGTCTGGAAGTAAATGTGCAGGAGGGGCCAAGTCTCTCAGGCCCAAGTGCAGCCTGCAGCTTCCCCTCACACCCAGGAGAGGCCTCAGCCCTGCTTCCTGCAGCTTCACAGCAGGAGCTGGCCCCCGGGACCATGTCCTGGGAGGAGCTGAACATCCAGGTCTGCCAGGAAATCCAAGGCTATTCACTGCCTTCCTGAACAGACCTGCCTTGAAACTTCACCAGTCCACTGTCAAAAGCTGCAGGCACTTCCAACTCACACCCGGAGACCAACTGACACTGTCCCCAGGGAGTTCTTCACCACAGTAACAGACGGGGTGTCCCCTAGTCACAGGGTCACTAGGGTTCATTGGAGAGCAGGCAGTTCATAGTGATCCCAAATGACCTCCTCAGTTCAACGTGGAAGAGCTAAAGAGGTGCCAGGGTGTGTGCTCACCATGGCCACACGTGTGCTGAAGAGAGGAGTGTGGGAATCTGGCTGCTGTCTCTCAGGAAGGCAAGGGCACGGGGTCTCAGACTCCCCCATCTGGAAGGTTCTCTAGTGTCAGTGTGACCACTGTGGGAGGGAGGGGCGGCTGTGTGGGCCGGGCTGGTGGCAGGTTTGTGTCTCACTTCCCCGTCTGCCTGTGTCACTGTGAGCAATGTCACTGCTGTCCCGCACCTGACAGTAATAGTCGGCCTCGTCCCCAGCCTGGGTCCTGCTGATGGTCAGGGCGGCCGTGTTCCCTGAGTTGGAGCCTGAGAATCGGTCAGGGATCCCTGAGGGCCGCTCGTTATCATCATAGATGACCAGCCTGGGGGCCTGGCCTGGCGTCTGCTGGTACCAGTGCACCAAGTTACTTCCAATGTTGTCTCCTCCACAGGTGATCCGGGCCGTCTGTCCCAGGGCCACCGACATCGAGGATGGCTGAGTCAGATCATAGGAGGCCACGGAGCCTGTAAATTGAGGGAAAAAAAGAAGTGATCGTGAAGATGAAGGATACCTGGAGATCCCCCTGCCTGGCCTGGACAGGCTCAAAGGACTCTCTGGAACCACAGGGCACCACTCCTGCGGAGCTCAGCCCAGGAGTCTCATGGGCTTTGCTATTGGGTTACCTCCCAAGGTAGCCTGACCCCTTTCCCCTGCCAGCTGCAGCCTCTCAGGCTCATAGCAGCCAATGAGCGCAGTGTCTGGGATTTTGGCCCCAACCCTTCACCCTGCAGCAGGTCCTGGCCACCCTCCCCCACAGGGAGGGCCCCGTGAGGAAGGCCAGGCTGGTCCCAGAGCCCTGGGGCTGGGTGGTGGCTGAGCCTGGGCAGCACCTGTGCAGTGAGCGAGGAGGCCCAGGAGGAGAGGGGTCCAGGCCATGGTGTCCCCAAGGCTGCTTCCTAGGCCCAGGCTGGGCTGGTTCTCCCCAGGCCTGTCTTATCCCCTGGCTGGAGAGAGCTGCCCCTTATGCAAATCAGCCAGAGCTCAGGTGCTGCTTGAGGGGCTCTGTGGTCTCCAGTGAAGGGTCAGGCCAGGGATTCAGAAGTTTGGGGCTGCACACCCACCTCAGTCCTCAGGGTTCTCCCTCACCTCTGTGCCATATGTGGGCCGGGATGTCCCAGAATGTGCTCACAGGTGGCCACACAGAGCTCAGAGCTGATTCTCTCTGCGTTTTCCAGACAGCCCGAGCTCTGTCCTCTGAGTGATCCTGGGTCTCCTTCTGGACATGGGCAGAGACACACTGGACAGCGGTGACTGTGGGACTCGGTCAGGAAGGAGGTGCTGATTTTTGTGTAGGAGCTGAGAGGTCCATCCTGAGCTGGAGCAGAGTCCCGATGCGGGTCTAGTGCTGGCTCCACATTCTGAGGGCATCTTCCAGGCCCGATGCTGTGACCCTCTTCTTCCCTCTGTACAGGGGACAGCACAAGACTTTGACAGGTGAAGGGACCTCCCCCAGACCCCAACCACTGAGGGCTAGCGCCTGCATGAAATCCCTTCGTATCCATGAACACTTGGAGTGTTGAAAGATTCCCGAGATCTTGAAGGTTCTGACCTTGGCCGTGAGTTCCGGGACAGGTCACAGGTCTGTGCCCCAGTCCCCCCAGTGTGGGCGAGGGCCAAGGACAGCCTCGGGATGGAGACCTGTGTGCTGTGCAGGAGAGTGAGGGCGGGTGCAGACTGTACCAGGAACTCCCGTGAGGGTTTATTTTAATTAAGTTTCCTTGAGGTGGAGGTGCTGGGACAGTGTGCGAAGGAATGAAAACGTTCCAAGTCACTGGAAGAGACAGAGCAGCGACCGTGGGCCTCAGTTGCTGGGAAATCAGGACGGGATAACTGGACAGCTACTCCAAGGGACACCAGCCAATCCCAGGGACACAGGACAGTGGAGCAGCGTCCAGGGACTCAGAGAAGCCCTGTGGGCAGGTCAAGGGTCTCAGAACACAGTGGAGGGGAGGGATACATGTAACCGCATGGCTGGGAAGGGACACGTGTGACTACAAGGGAGGAAAGGAACACGTGTGACCACACTGAGGAAGGGAGGCCTCAAAAGCAGCCATCAGTCATGCCCTCTGCCCTTGAGCCCCCCAGGGCCTTGGGTTACCAGTCACCACCATGGCCACAGTGCCCCCTGGTGCCCACAGGAGGAATGGCACCCTACCCTTGTCCACACTTCATGCACAGTGACCTCTCTGGGCCCTTCCTACAGTCCAGAGTGGTTCTGGATTTTCAGTCGACTTCAGTCTGGATTTTCTCACAGCCCCCAGCAGCCCTGAGTGTAAGGCACCATCTCTCCTCCAGTCTGTACCAGAAAGTAACTACTGTGGCTCCTGCTGCTCCCTTATTGAGAATTCTTATGAAGTTTATGCATTTTTTCATGTGAGACACAGGAGGGCAGGCACCTCCAACATGGTCTTCACACCACAGTCCCCTCCTCTCAGCCCCCCTGGGGACATGGACACGCACACTGGCACCCAGCGTGCTCAGGGAGGACCTGGGACCCAAACCCTGACCCTTTCCAGTAGAGCCCAGTTGCATTCCCACAGAATTTCTGTCTACAACTTCTTTTTTCTTTTTAAAAATTTATTTGTAAACTGTGTGTCCTTTGGAGACGTGAATGGTTTTCACATTGAAAAGGGCTGTGTTTCTGGTCAGGGATAAAGAGACAGTGTGTGGATGTGGAGGAGGAGGTGGGGAGCGTGGAGTGCAGCTCACACCCCCAGGTGCGTGTCACAGAACAGCTGGGCCACGGCTCCTCCTTCCTGGGATTCAGATTCACCTCAGCCTGGATCTGACCATCGGCTCCCTGAGAACTGGGAGCTCCTAGGATTTGAGGCTCATTATTCATTCCAAGAAAATGCAGGGAACCAAGAAATCTTCCGGGACACATGGTGTTCACACTGGGAATTTAGGAGGGAAGCAGAGCTCTCAGGTGCATAGTGGCCCCCACAGGCCCTGATGCCTAAGGTGGGGACAGCTGGCCCCCAGATGGCTTCCCTGATGCCAACTCTTCATGGAGACCTGCAGGCTTGGGCCAGCCTGGAAAGAGGCAGGAGGCAGCCCAGGGCAGGAGGGGTTGCTGACATGAGGGGGGGTGCAGTGGTGGGACTCTGGCTTCCCTCCAGGGAACTCTGGAGCTGGGGAATTCCAAGTGTCCCTAGGTTGAAGCAGGGTCTGGGACCTAGACCTACGGCTGTCATCAAACCAGACCTCTCTGGGTAGAGGCATGAACTGGAGGAAGGGGCCCAGCTCTGAGGGGCTGACAGCTCCCAGCAGAGGAGGTGGGTCAGCCCTGAAGTGGGGCCGGGCAGATCCCACAGGGCCCACG